CAACTTCTAGATACTTCATTATGTACTTTAATACTTCTTCGTACTTTTTCATAGTTTATGATAGCTCTCTATTATTCTGATTATTTCAGAAGTACAGTAATCTACAAAAGAAGTTGCTATTAGATTTTTTTCTAAATTTTTCTTTCAGAAAGAGCCTAAAACTACAGCTATTAATAATAAAATCGTTATTCCTTCGATTTAATACGAGCCAAGCAATAATTAACTTTCTTAAAAATCGTCAAAAAGTTTCGAGTTTAAATACAAAGTCCAGATCAGATTTTATTTATATATCTATTCAATTCATTAAGACTCGGACTTTTCTTTTTCTAGAGATAAAATAATCTCACAAATTGCTTTACACTCTAATATATACGCTTCAATCAAAAACTACTCAAAGCATTAGATTTATCCTTATTATGACTATATCATTAAAGTAATTTTTTCAATTGATGAATCTTCTTGTGAACGATAGAAATTTTATGATTTTATTTTTCATGGAACAACATATTTTCGTAAGATTTTAAGTTCGTCTAGTTAGTCTAGACTTGATCCACTGTAGTCGTCTATAAAATGTCTAGAATGTGCTACTCAATAAATACAAAAACAAAATCATTAAAAAAAAATCTCGTATCTTTGAAACAAGTATTCGATTTCTATTAGAAAATTTCACTGTGTCTATCAATCTTTATTATCAGATACTGATGTTAGTATTCTTTTTTTATTATTATCATTGGTATTAGTACCAATGTATATCTATAGTTATAAAGATAAGTAAAATGTCAACTGTTGGAGAAATAGATTATGCAACCTAAATGATGTACAGGATAGGAAATAATATTATTTCAGGAGGATAACGCTGTAATTTCAAATAGAAGAAATAATCAATTTTATATCAGATGAAAGCTCGTCAATAATGGGATTTAGTGGTACTAAATAGTGAAGTCTATGAAAACGTTTTAATCTCGAGCTTAAGAAATTTTATACGTTTTTTGGGGTGGACAATTAAGGTACCGGCAATTCAAAAACTAATTAAAACTGTTCTCTTGGATATTTTGATATGGTTCGATAGAGTTCGTTGAGCTCTACAAAACTGTATATGTCAAAAAATTTTTAAGGCGTCTTTTTGCGATAGAAAATTCAAAAATCTACTTGGAAAATCCTAATAAATGTTTAAAACAACTCACATGTTTTATATGAAAGAAAAACAAAACGAGGATGTGGGTGTGATTAAAATGAAAAATAGAACTCACTGCTGCACTCACACCCACACACCCACACTCGCATCCACACCCCATACCCACACCCACACCCACACCCACACCCTGGAGATGCCATCGGAAAGAATCGGATCCGCCAGTTCTGGTGTAGGAGGAGCACATGGTAGTCCATTTACGGATGGCCGCATGCCTACGAGCAGAGGAGCACATGGTAGCCCATTTACGGATGGCCGCATGCCTACGAGCAGAGGAACACATGGTAGCCCATTTATGGGTGGTC